GAGTATGCTTTATTGATAATAATATGTTCACATTGTCACAAACAGATTAAGAATATATATCTGTCTTTGAAACTAATAATATCAATAAATAGTTTACCAAAACTAGAGATATTACTATTAAGTGTGGATCAGATGCTAATTGTTTATTTCCTTAATAATACGTAAATTCAAAATGTATTTTATTAAGTAAGAATGGTGAATATGTCAATTTGATAAGAAAAAAATAAAATGGAGAGTTTCTAACTGAATAATCTATTCATTTAGGAACTAATGATTTATTTGGAGGAATGAGTGAAGATGGATAGTATTTAATCACATGGGATACATAAGCACGTTAAATATAAATTTGGAGATATCATGAATTATGAAAAATTCATAGATATATATATATGAATATATTTTATATGAAATCAATCTTATTAATACATTTAAGAAAAAGCCTTATTAATTATTTACCTATAATAGAATGATTAAAATACCAAAATGATGGAAAAAATTGGGCTTACTTTTTTAAAATCAATATTTTTAACAACAAACTAAAACCAAAAACTTGCTCAAATAGAGTAATAAAATTTAGAATTATAAGTATATTTATTCCATCAAAACTTGTATACTAATTTATAAAATATTAAATTAAATTTTTATTTTGTTAACTATTTTGTTTAAAATTTATTTTTATTGAATTAGTAAAATAATGACTTCAATTCCATTAAAAAGCTCTTTTATCTAGACGGATTGAAAAATTACTTTAATGGCTAAAGAGATTAAAAAAATTCTCATTTTTTAAGATTTCTCACTATGTATTTGTCATTATTAATTTAGTGACAGATATCTTCTCTTGATATTCTTATTATTTAGCCATAGTTTAGAAAGAAATAAATTTAAATTCTATTTAGTTGAAATACCTCTTACATTATCTTGCAGAATCTTAGGCTAAATTAAAAAGAATTTAATAAAAAATTTTAACCTGTAATAATAATTAGTCATATCAGAAGAAACTAATTTTTCACAAAGATATAAATTAAAAAATTCCAAGAAATAATTGCAACACTAAGTTTATTTGATAATCCAGTAAGGATGTTTCTTAACCAATTACTAATTAATTAAAATTAAGTATTAAATTATTTAAATCAATTGGGTTGGATTGTTTGACAATTTAGAAACTATAACAACAAATGAAAATTCATTATCTTAGGATCTTCATCCTTTTTGATTGATTCCTAATTATTCTCATAATGAGATAACCTTTAATTTATACAGTTTATGTATGTCTTTTAGATAAATAGATTACAAAGCTTCTCTTGCATAATTTATTGAATTGATTTTTAGGTTACATAACAAGCAAAAACAAAAAACGCAGGATTTGAATTTATATATCTTTGATAGCACTTCATACTATAAAACCATAAACTATCTATAAAACTTGCACTTATATAATTTTAAATTTCATATATAAGATGATTTAGGAAACTATAAATCGTAACAATAATTTATTTAATGAATAAAATAAAACAAATTAACAAAACCATTCTACAATACAAGTTCAAATATTAAATAATACACAAAGGATTCATCATATACAACATATTTAATGATAAATCTTATTCTTTGCAATCTTTTTATTAAATTAAATAGATAATAAAAGATAAAAATATTAATTTTGTATTTTATTTTAATAACTAAGGAAATAGTTCTCATAGTTAAAGTTAAATATCAATGGTAAATTTATTTAATCACTTCTTTTACCTAAAATATCGGCATTTAACAATTTAAGTCTTATCTTTAATGAAGAGATAATCTTTTTACCAATCTGAAAATAAGTAGGCATAGAGTATTTTCATTTTAAAATTTTAAGTTTATGAAAAATATCTTTATTACTATGGTAAATTAATGATGAGAGAGTTTTTAAGGCAGTTAATTTGGAGATTATGTAAGACCATTTAAAGACGATTTGAAAGAGATTTAGGATCACTAAAATTAAAGTTATATTAATAGAATGAAGTAACTTGATCTTGAGATTCTTATGACTAAATTCCTGGAACTTGAGATTTATAATAATTTGGTCTTGATTGATACACAGAAGCCCTTTAGATTTAATTTGGTAGTTTATGAGATAATTTTTATCCTAATCTGCTCCTTTGAGGACTTAAGTTTAAAATGGAATAGAAGATAAAATATTCTTAAATACTATTTTTATTAGATAGTATACTATCACTTTCTTTTGTGCTGTTTTACAAAAAGCAACATAGATCTTTCACCATGACAGCATAGTATTAAATTAATATTGAGGGTTAGAAAATAGAACCAGTTTCTAATTTGTATTGGATGCAAACTATATGATCTGTGTAAGTATTAATAATTAACCCATAGCCTTTTAAACAATATTGTAATTAGTGAATATATAATTTCAAAGGTAAGTTTTTATTAGAAATAATACAGATTTACTGTCCTACTATAAAATATGATGAAGTTTAGATTTTTAGAGTTTCTTACAAATAAGTATATAATGTGATTACTGTATAATTACTAAGCCTCATCATATTATTGTCACATCGTATAAATCCAAAATATTGATTGACTTCTTAAATGGAAATTTCATTTTGAATTATTACACTCAC